GGGGGCCCGGGTGACTGAGGTCCCAGGAGCAGGACTCCTCAGGGCCACACAGAGGAAGCAGGCCCCACCCTCGTCACACCCCCCAGCCCTGAAGCACCCACCACCAAGCACCGTCCTGATCTCCTGACCAGAGCCCTAGCCTAGGGGCCCGAGCACCTCCGGCCCAGGCTCAGCCACTCCAGCTGTGCGGCCATGGGGGCTATTTGCCCCTACCTGCTGCCCACGTGCCCCCTCCCCGCATACTCCTTCCCTTTGCCAAAGACCACCCCCCAGAGGCACCGCGACACATGGCCCATGTCCACTGTCAAGTAGTGGTCTCGCCAGGTGGGGCCACACGGTGGAATGGGTACAAAGCAGAGCCGTGACAGAGGCCCCCACCCCCCAGCCTCCTCTATAACAGCAGGACCAGGCCCGGACCCCTCCCAGCTGGGCTGGTGCCAGCACTGCACGGGGCCTCAGGGCAGGGACGGTGCTGTCCTCCGCTGGCAGCTCCCTCCCCTCAGAAGACTCCTCTCCTCTTCCTGCCCAGCTGGTGGGTGTCCTGTCAGTCATGGTGAGAGCTGGCATGAGGGTGCTCGACACGCCCCAGCCCGCAGCCCCTCGGCTCCACACTCACGCCCTCGCTGGCCGGACCCACATGCCCCTCCCTCCCGAGGGCCCTCCTCCCACCCCCAGGCTCCTGACCCTTTGTGCTGGAGCACAAAGGACTGGGGACAAAGCCAGGGTCCTGCTGACGTGGCACCCTCCTCTGTCAGACAAAGGGGCTGTGCAGGGAGGGGCAGGCTGCGGATTCAAAACTGAAGGGGCCCCCGCAAAGGTTCTGATGCCTCAGCCAGTTTCTGTCCGAGGCTACAAGGGCACCAGCCGAGGGGCAGAGGCTGGACGAAGCACCAGCAGCCCTGCTCGCCTCCTTCTTAGAAAACCAACGAGACTTAGCCCCAGAAGGGCAGGACTGGGTGGGCCCATCCTGGAGCGACAGGATTCCTGAGTTCCAGCAGAGACCTTCATCACAACGATCCTCCCCAACCCCCACTGGGCCTCAGCTGTCCTGGCTGCTGAGAGGGTTCGGACCCACCCGGGGGGGGCACTGGGGGCCTTCCAGGTGTGCCTCAGCCCGGAGACAGGCCAGGCAGGGCGGCCAGACACTCAGCATGTGGAATCTGCCCACCCAAGCGGGTGAACAGAGCAGGCAGGGC